CATAATCAATCACAGACAAAAACGTAGCTTCTACATCTTCTGGTCTCTAAGTTAACTGTTTATAATAATAAACATACAGTAAGGCTCTCTTGTGGAAAATTATTTTTGTCCCTTTAGTTTTTCTTGGGTAAGAGAAGTTCAATTTGTCTCATGGAAAAAAAAAACAAAAAAAAACAACAACCTAAAGCTTATGTTTTTTTCCAGTTTTAGTTTGTGCAAAAACAAATTGATAATGCCTTGTTATTCGTTTTCTCATTTTAGTTTAATATGGTCTGGTTTCAATGTCTGGTTTCAAACCAAAAAGCAAACTGCTTGAATATACACAGACCATTGTATTGTAAACTATTATACTAAGCGAGCGACTGTTGGGGGGTTATTATGTGGTTGTGTTCTTTCTTTTAAGTGTGCTGCAAATCAATTTCCGCTTGGGTTGTTATAATGAACCAAAACTGAATTGCTGGAATCTGTCAGTTGTCATTTTATTCTCAAACCTAAAACTGAAAAAACAATTTTTATTTTTTTTAAGCAAAAGATAGATATGCGCCTTTATAAAATAAGTAAATAAATAGCTCTTTTCCAGTCTTAACTGGGTGCATATAAGTGTTAAGACACACTGCAGCTCAGGTGATTTATTTTGAACTGACAGATTTCTGGCCTGTTTTGTCAGATTGAGGTGATGCATGACTACCAAGGTAACCGCAGCTGCCTGTATGGCCCCAACTCTGAAACTGATTCAGAGGCAGAAGATAATCCAGAACAGGTCACAAGGTAAGAAACCTCTGACATCTCAGAGCATATTCTAAGAGGCCTTCAAAAATAATCAATAACATTTGATGGGATTTCTATAGCAATAATTTATGGTAATTAATACTGTTTTAGGCACGTTATGAAGGAACTGATAGCTACAGAGAGGATCTATGTGGATGAGCTGCTCTCTGTTCTTCTGGTGTGTTTTGGATTATTTAGCTAAAGCATTTAAAAGAAGAAATCTATATTTTTTTAATTTGCTTGGCCTGATCTTTGTGTCTGACATATTAGGGTTACAGGGCAGAAATGGAGGACCCCTCCATGTCTTATCTTATTCCCCCGGAGCTGCGAAGCCAGAAAGACGTTCTGTTCGGCAACATGCCTGAGATCTACCAGTTCCACAGCAGGCAAGCGTCCATGCACCCAGAGCTCACCAGCTCCTCAGGACTTCTCCTCCCTTTCCTGTCTTTTTGTTCTCATCCAGCTTTTGTTTTTTGTCTTGTTTTCTTTGTTTAGGATCTTCCTCCGAGATCTCCAGGGTTGCCTGGAGAACCCAGAGAGGGTCGGGGCCTGCTTTCTGCAGCGGGTGAGTTAACAGGAACATGTATATGAGGACTGCATTCAAGTCGATGATAAGAAGCATATGCTAAGTAGAGCTTTATGTGTGTTTGAGTAGAAAGACAAATTTCAGGTGTACGAGCGTTACTGCCATAACAAGCCCTGCTCTGAGCTACTTTGGAGACAGTGTTCTGATTCGCCCTTTTTCCAGGTAGTCAAATACACCATATCTAATAAACTTCTCTACTTAAATGGCTTTTTTCCCCACAAAACTATGCCTAATTTTTTTATTGGTATAACCACCTATAGGAGTGCCAGAAGAAACTGGACCATAAGTTGGGCCTGGATTCATATCTTCTGAAACCGATCCAACGCCTAACTAAGTACCAGCTGCTGCTTAAGGTCTGGGAGTCCTGCAGAAATGTCTTTCAGATTGATTAGACAATAACATCTGTTATACACTGTGTTGTTGAGGGTTCTGATGATAAATGTAAAGAAAGTCCTTTTTATGGCAGATTGCAGCTACATGTTATGGACTTTGTATCAGCTTAGTAACAATGATGCCCTTTTTTTTGTGAATGTTTTCTATAAACAAGAAAAAATAAGGTTATATTTTTATGATCGCCTAAACTAAATTCAAAAAAGTGACACAAATCAACTGTTGACTGTTATCCTGAAAGTGATCTGGACCAGTTACATTTTAAGTAGACATAATAAAGCAAGCTATTTCTAGTGTCAATGAGCTCTTTACCCCACAGGGGCTTTTAACATTTTTATGTATTTTATTTTAACCCTTTAAAGCCCGATCCAAGAATAAAACAAAACAGAAAATTACTTTTTTTTGGTTTGAA